AAATCTAGGAGGCCGTGACTACGAGTATATACTACTATTTTTAATCTGTTTTCAATATTATTATATTAAACATCTATGTAAGTTTGCTTTATTTATTTTAACAAATGCGTAAATGTTAATAATACGCCTTTTAAACTTTTATTTATACATTTTTAATCTCCAAACTTCATCTCAAAAATTGGTAGTTTAATCAGTAAAATTACGTAAAACAGACCATTTTTTAACGTAAAAACCGCCTCATTTTATATTTTTAACGTTCGTAACATACAACCAATCGAAAGCGATTCAATTTTATATTTAAGGAAATATATTTTAATAACACTTCATTTTAACAGTTTAAGTATGTAAGTGAAAGCACTCTAAAACGAAATCAAGTTAAGAATGGCGACAGTTACCGCATTTAATTGATTTAATCGTAACAGAAGAACATCAATAAAGACCATGAATAGTATACAACAATGTGAGTAGACAATGCCTAACTAAATTGGATAACACTTTCTCGTCACCGATCTCCTAAAAATAAACAATTGTTTAGTTTAAACGTACACAGGTAAATAGTACGGAGAAAATGTTGTCAAAAATAAAAAAATATATCTGGTGATTTTTCTTTTAACAGGAGTTTGTATTTTTTCTCCCTCTATATATCTCAGTCATATAGACTGAGATAAGTCCTAATTATAATAAGACCTAAGCGTGGTTTAAGGTGTTATAAAATGTTAAATCTAAGTCTAGACGCAGCTGGCGTTATAAAAACGGTATCTTGTTGGCTATGAGACGGGTACCGCAAGTAAGGGCTTGACATACAACGAGCTATGCTAACTAAATATAAAGCTTGCGATTTTTTAAAACTTTTATTATAACGTTTCGATGTATTGTTGTAAGAAAGACGTGTTGCCAATTTTTTATGACTGAGGTGTAGAGACAAGCCAGGGTTCGCTTGTTTGAAGCAGACGTACTGTAGCCAGAAAACATCTGAACATGTATACACGTATGTATGAAGCTATATAATATTTATTATTATATTTTAGCGTGTATGGTTGACATTCCTAACGTTAACGCTATCAGACACGCTCCACCAGCAATTATATTTTTTTAACAAATAAAAACAGTAACGCGCAGTCATTGTATTATTTTCAAAAAACTTTTACATTATGTATTGTACATACTACGGTTTAAGTATTACGCATCTTGGGGGGTAATTCTTTATCGAGCGACATAACATTTAAATTGACATAAATCTGACATTTGACGTCTCCATTTGTTAATTGTCAACGTCATTGTGTTTTCGTATTGAAAAATATAAGTGATTAATAAATTACAATTAAAAAGTGCTATTATTCAATAATAAGGTAAAAACTTACGTAGGAGTTAAAAATACAATGTAAACACGTAGTGAATTGTATATTAATTTTATATAATATGTTTTATCTTATCTAGCATATACATGTACCGTTTTTACTATTTAAAGAATTAGGTCTGGTGTGTTTCAGTAGGATCAATGGTCACACGATAATAGAAACAATAAAATTATTGATTTATTATTACTTTCAACGTCATGCACCGTTAGTTATCGTTAGGCAGTTAAAAGCCTCTTATAAGATTAGCTTTAAATCGTATGCTGTAGTATGCAGCCTTTTTATATTTTAATAGTATAAAGGAAGCTACATATTTTGGTTATGGACGTCTAAGCTATTAAACAACGCTCAAAGAAATATGTATTTATTTAAAAAAAAATTCACGCTAAATTTTTCCTTAATCACGATTAAAGTACTAGGCGATAAGGAATTGTATAAGAAACCAGGCGAAAGTCGTGCAATATTTATCCATTATAAGTTTCCTTATCGAGGTCGCGGTGAGTTCAAGCTCAAGGCTATCTGATGACCTCTTTATTTTATGCGACCCTGGTACGGTTCACGCTGTAGGTCAAACAGTGGACTGATTTAAATAGTCTCTAAACGGTATTTAAAAGACTCCGGTCACGTAATTTAAAATTCTAACAACTACAACCAATGGTTATATAGGCGTATCTTCAGCTTTTTTGTGCGAATAAGTGCGCGTGCGCATATGTTATGTAGGTATGTAATTAATCGCATTTAATGATTATATTTTCGAAAGTATGTTTACGTTTCAACGGATTGTAATCCATTTTAATATTATGAATTTTTAGTTATAACGTTTTTTATTTTGCTTTTTAATTCCAAAAATTTTTCCACGTCACATACAGAAAATAATTTATTTATTTTTCAATAAAAAATTTTTAATAGGGTCCCAAGTACAAAAGTGTTCCCTCTTCCGTTTCATCCCAACTGAATGTAAAACACTTCATACATTGCTACGGTACAGCGATCAACCGAAACAGTTACAGCGCACAAACAATTGTATTTCGTAAAATATTATCTGACTGGCGCCTGCGAGTACCTACTCTTTTTATGTTTTCCTGGTAATTCAAATTTTTATTTCCTTACGTCAATATTATGATGGCAATCATAGTTCTTAATATAGAAATATTGTTGAATTATATTTTTATTTTGTCGTACTCTGCTCTGTTTAATTTAAAAGAAAAAAGTACTTTGGTTCTTACCATAATACTATTTATGTTACAAGTATAAGTGTCCTTAGTAAAATTGTTATTTAAATCAATAGACATGTATTTAGTTAGTAAGTAAGTAATAGTAAGTAGTAGTATTTAAAATAATAAATTTTAAAGCATTTTGATTTGAGCGACTTTAAAGAACTAACAATATTTCTTACAAATGAGTCCACATGTTGCAAACGAATACATCAAAATATATTCAAATAAAAAAAATAAAAAACAAAACACAAAGGATTTTGACAAGAAATCAATAACTTATTTTTATATCAACAACAGCCTTCGCAGAATAATAATTACGGTTTATTTCCTTCAGAACTGTCAGTTCTCGGAACGGAGTGAACCTCGTAATTTCATGTTGTTTTGCGGAACGAAATGCGCTTTGCAATTATTGTTAACCGGGACAAGATGAGGAATTTCGTATTACGACTGTTGCTTTTACCCGAAATTCAGAATAATTAGATTATGTACTTCGTTGTGTTTTAAGCGCCGTACTTGCTAAAAGGGTTGCTACAAAATATAATCACAGAATGTAATTAAATATAGTACTTGTGAGCAATTTTTTCTTTTCGCATTTCACTAATTGCATATAATTTTGAATACTGTCAATAGTTTACGCAAGTAGTACCTACATACGCAAGTAGTACGTACATATTTAAATAAAACACTTTTACGTTTAAAACGCCATATATTAGCTGTGTTGATTTTTAACTTCAGGCCGACGTTTCGGATGCTCCACGAGTCTCCCCGTGACCACGGCTGCCAACTAATATATCGCGTTTTAAACCGTTAAGGAGTTTTATTATTAATATTTTTGCTTATAGTACTTTTTAAAATGTGTATTACTCGCGTAAACTAGATAGGTACAGTTTTTAATAAAATGTAAGTAACATTCAGTTACATCAGTAAATATAACTTGTACGTCAATTAGGTTACTAGATACTGCTTTTGTTTTGTCTTTTTTCGTTTAAGTCTCATACTAATATTATTCACTTAATCAAAGATTAACAAAAAGACTAAAAAATACAGGTATAAACCAAATTATTTACAGTACATATTCGATATACTCATATAAACTTGTAAAAAACATTTCGTAACAGTTAAATAAATAAAATAAATATACAATAGTTATCTAAAATTTGGCCGACTACATATTTTTCGCATTATTTTAAAGATTTCCTAATGAGTATTTTTTACGAAGTAATGTTCTTTTGTTGTGTTTTTTTTAGTAAAGTATTTTTATTCTTTTTGTCGATTGTAGGTTGCATTGTTCCCAAGAGGCTGTGAAAATCCTGTATCTAGACTTTCATAAGTTGCACATTGTTTTCACCGACCTGGATAGGCTCAAATTTACCGTTTTAGATATTAACCCAAATAGCTTTATTTTACTTCATTATTGTAGGCTTTCTATATAATGTGTGAAAGGTGTTACAGCCGAGTAAATAGCTGTGTAAAATCACATAGCTAAAGATTGTTTGCGTGTCCCTTTAATAACTATATCTATCGTCAAGAAAATCATAAAAAATACATTTGTGGTCTACAAAATACATATGTTGTCCATGGTCTTGTGGAATAAAATACCAATTTTTTAAGCTGGTCTAAACCCTAGGTCAGCAAGAACGTAATGTTATATAAAATATTTATTAATTGAAAAATGTTCTAACTTTTTTCGTTTACGTAAAGTTATTTCAAGCACAATGTTTCCCTAATTGCTACAGCGACTGTTCTAAAATTGCTAGATTATATTACATTATTAATAATCCGAACACGATGCACATATTTTTACTAAAAATTTGCTCCAGGTGAGGCTCGAACTCACAACCCCGGCATTGCTCACGGCGACTGCCCTATAAGTACCGTGCGCTAACCAATTGCGCCACTGGAGCTACTGTAGGACAAACAGAAATAGCAATACTTATGTATTTAGGCCCCATAGCTTAGTGGTTCGGAGATATCTTGTTGAAGTTATGAATAGTTGAATTTAAAAATTGTAGTGTAAACAAATAGATCTAAACACATTTTTTTATTTTTAGGGCATAATAGAAATACAATTTTACTAATATTACATGAACAAATTCATTTTATTTAAATAGAACCCTTTAACGGTTTAAAACACGAAATATATTATTTAAGCTTGTTTGCAAATTATTGTAACAAATATATTTCACATTTTAAACAGTTATATTGTTATTTAAAAGTGTATACTACTAAACACTAAACTTGTACTTTAAGGTGTCTATTCGATCTTACAACGATTATAATTGATAATAAAACGATGGTAAAAGTTGAGAAAACAACGAACAAAAACTAAATTGTCCCCTTTGTTACAGAAACCCAACACAATGGACGACTGAGCAAAAGTGAATAGATCAGTGATTTTTGTGAACTTATAGTGTAACAGTTTTTCAAAATGGAGTTCAAATCCCACTTGGTTTTAGCAGCGGGCGTTTTATTGATCGGTGAGTTCTATAACTATGTTTATTTTTTTTGTTTATTTGAAGTGTATTTCTTTGGTGGCGTTATGCACTTTTTTGTTATGTAAACTCCCGTCAGAACTGTAATTTGACTTGACTGTAATTTCGTAAGACGAAGGGAGGGTAGACAAAATATGAATTTTCACGTTTGTGTCCGATAGCGAATCACGAATATTGTACCTTTTCCCGTGCAAATTGGACTAATCGTAGCAATGTATGGTTACCAATGGGTCGTGGGTTTGATTCCTAACGGGCCAAACATGGTTCTACAATTTATAATTTTTCTAAAACAGGTTAGACCTACTCTGGAAACCTGCATATTAAACTTTGTTATGGCATAGACGTCTAAAATTTTCAATCCCTTATATAATCAAAATAATTCGGTAAAAATTGTATATTAAATAACATTTCTGTACAGTCCAGAGATTCCCAAACTTATTTCTCCAGTTGATCAGTTAATTTTATTTTTTTCCTATAGGTTTCCTACTGTTCAAGATTTCCAATAGTAGTAAAGTGTTTACTCTCCAGTGTTGAGCAATAGAACATATCAATATTATTCGGTGTAAGAAAAAAACGAATTATAATTTTTATTTTCGAACTAAATTCATTTTGAGGATCAGTGCCACAGCCCATATTTCGGAGTATTAATTTTATTAACAAGTCAGTTAAAATAATTTGAGTTCTGTATATTCTGCAACGTATAAAAATTCATAAATTCAACGTATAAATTTGAAATGAAAACAGAATGTTGATCCAAATATTACAAATTCCAATATTGTAAATTGAACGGCGTATTTTTAAGCAAATTGAATTGAATTTTCAGTATATTTTATGGCTTTCGTATTTCATAAAACATTTATATTTAACAAGTCATATATATATAACATGTTAGTAGGACTACGGTAGGAACTTGGAAATCGCAGAGAAAAAATAATAATTTAATTTAATAACACAGCCGGGGTTCGAACCCAGAGTTCTATGGTATAATCACACCACCTGACCCAATGTGTCCCTTCATCAAAAAGCATTCCGCATTTCCAACACAAGGTGTTTCTTTGCGTTTATCGCACCGGTTATAAGAACAGTTTTCCCAGTACTCGAACCCCAGACAAGTGCTTAACGTACTGCTAGAGGACACGTTATATTATTAAATCATATAAATATCCCTGTGCCAATCTAATTGAAGGAGAATTACAACAATTCCAAATGCATATTTCTCATTCAATACAAGCGATTTACATTCGTCTAATAGCCAATAAATCATTTGGTTCATTGATCGATAGATCGTGATCGAGGCGGCTGCCAATTACCGTTAATATGACACTTCGATTAATCGATTTTATTGATCCTTGTTAAGTTTAACCCTGCCATGTCTACCGTAAATCATTAATAGCCTGTTTCTTTACGCTGTCAATTGTCATTTTGTCCGTATTACAACTTCGAATTTGGTTTTTAATTTACTCACTAGCTGATCCAGCAAACGTGCTTGCAATAATAATATTATTATGTTGATACAACTCTAGCAAATAACATTTTTATACTAATAATGCATTAATTTCGACCAAAGTTTATTGTCACAAAAAAGAAATATAAAGGAAAAGAAGAAGTTTGTTTTCCACCATTTGAATTCTTCCTTTGCACCCAATTTTCGCAACGGGATGTTATATAGTTTAAAGCCTTCCTCGATAAGTGGTGTATGTAACAAAACAACAATTTTTTAATGCAAATCATAAGTTCCTGAGATTAGTCGGTTTAAACAAACAATCAAACTCATACGCTTTATAATATTAGTATAGATTATTTTCTTCCTCGTGTCACGCTTAGTAAACATTGCTAAAGATACGTCTTGTTAAATTCACTCATATATTTTAGTACCGGATAGTCAGTGAAAGTTGCCCAGTTAAGAAATACTTTTCTATTAATTAACACAGAAAAAACCTGCACATTTATTAAAAACAACCTGTCAAAACACACTGTATAATGTTGTTACTCTCATTAAACACATTGTAACACGTACGCTGATATATGTGATACGTTGGGCCTGTTTTTGTTCAGCTAGCGGTATGTTTATACAGGACGTGCACATTTTCCAGAATGACACATCATTTTTGTAATAAAATTTAATAGCTTTTTATTTAATAAATAAAACGAAAAATACAATATTAATAATTAGAGTTAGATAGCACGAGTGCTTGGAATAAAAAAAAATATATTCTTTAGTATACAGTTATAACAGAACGACTTTACTCTGTATATAAATATAAGATAGATGCGATACGATGTGGTTTTTTTTATGGCAATAAATATTTTATATAATATAATCTTCTCTATATTCTTATTGTATAATATGTGAAAGAGGTTTGTAGGCAAACAAAAATATATCGCTATTATGAGCCAAGCAAACGTAGACTTTATTATTGTGTAAAATCTAGCATAAAGTTAACAAGTAACTATACTATATATTGTTACGAACGTTTGTTAGTGTTTTTTTACCCTGTCATTTAATATGATATTTATTTCACATACAAACATTTCCGGTTATTAAAACATTTTCCATCTATAAATTTTATTTGTTAGGTAGTTATTAAAACCAATGATTTCCCTTCCTGTTTTTTTCGAACAGCCTGTACATGAACAAAAACTACATCGTTATCTCGATGCTGACCCACATTGGTTTTATCCTTAATGTACACGCGAGAATATATTCAACTCTATATTAAATATTAATTACTTTCAGTAAGGAAACCCTTCTTTTTCTATACACAGGCTATGTAGGATACACAAATTTATAATGTAGGAAAATATGAAATTTTATAATATATTTCTGCTATAAAGGCTCTAAATAAAGAAACATGACAGACAGACAAGAAAGACACATGCGTTTGGTAAAATATATTATTTTACATTTATAATTTTTGAGGTATCAATATTAAAATCAGTTTTACCCGAATAAAAATATTCTTATTAAATCTACTACGGACTACAAACAAGATTATCTATCTATCGTTCAATTTATACTCAGAAGTAAATGGTTTTATGTATAAGTTATAGCAATAAAAATAAGAAATAACTTAGTAAAAGTTTCTTATGGTAGATGAGGACTTGGTGGAAGTTAAAGTTTCTAGTCATATAACTTTGCAACAAGATGTGCTATGGACCTATTTAGGCTTTAGATATTCGGAAATTCACAGAATGCAAACCGAAACGTAAATAACTTCACGGTGTTACGGGGGACGTTAGTTTGAAACCCCGGCGAAATTGTCGATACCCATACCATCTTTAATATTTCAAACAAAGTCAAAGACCTTTCAGAAGTTTGACCCGATGGAAATCTTTATTTAATTACAGCTATTGACATTTGCCTTAACACTAATTTATAGTTAAGAGTGTATATCTAAAAACCGCATACATTCATCTCCTAACTTTCCCAACCCTGGCACAAATATGTCACATTCTGGTGCAGAATTAAGGAATTTAGATATAATCGTTAGCCATACTTTGCTAGACCAACGCACCCGTCAAAACTAAAAGATTCCCGAAATAAATTTCCTTGTAATATTTATGAGCATTGTAATATTTCAGTTAATTATGGTTTTTATAGCTCGTTGGTTATCAATATATCCCTTCTATCTAAACGTCTGCGTGCTGCATAATTTAATATCCTAAGATCATTCAAGCAATACCAGACGGTCAACTGGTTTGACAACATGTTGATAGATTTATCGTAGCGTAAAGATAGTTTATCTGGACATCCATAATATTATGAACACCCAATCGATCTTAATGTTCCGTTTGTTTGTTATCTTTTAATCGACTTAGTTCCTTTTTTATACGTTAGTCGGTTGTATAAAATAATTCTACAGCTTAATTTGTCGTTAGAGTTTCAACTACTGTCGTCGATTTTTAAAATACTAAACAGATTTTAATTCATATTTACTGTGTAATACACACAGCTTTATAATTTTATTTAGATAAGCTCCAACGTTCTTATTTTGCGATGCGTCTGCCAGCTAGGTTAAACAATTTTGACCCAGAAGTGAAGTCTATTGAGGTAGCTGATAAGGATCTTGAGTTTATCGAAACTACCTACATACGATAAAAAATCCACCAATTTATAACCATACCTACCTTCTTCCTCTTCCAACACTTCTGTTATCGGTTCAGTACAAGAACTTGATTGAAATCATTAAACCGATCAAGTAAAATAATTCAATGTTAATAGCAGTAATAATATATAGCCAATAACGGTATGAAGTGAAAATGCAATAACATCTAGATTGGATAAAGTGTTAGAAAGTCTGGGAATGTTTCGAAGAAAATTTACTAGACCTTATATTAATAATAATTAATGTTTTAATGACATCCTCTCTCTATCTTAAGTTTAGTTTCCGTTGATAAAAAATATAAAGACAAAAAGTCCCTCATCATCAAATACTTTTTTTTTTAATTATAGAGAAGGACAAAAAACCATGGGGTTCTTGATAGTAGGTAAAATACCCCAGCAAGATGCGCTGTCGACCTATTTTGGCTTTGGATATTCGGAAATCCGCAGACGGAAACCGAAACGAGATTAAACTTCACGGCTTTTTCGATATTCCTAACACCGATTTTATATACAGATTTCCAGACGAAGTTCTAAGTTCTACATGTTTTAGAAAAAATATAAATTGATTAGAAAAATGTTGGACACGGTGAGGATCAAACAACACGACCCGTTGATTATTAGCCGTACATTGCTATCATTACACCAATGAGCCCGTTAAGTACCTACTTTTCTATGCTTCATTAAACTTGACTCCTAGGACGGTAGTTTTACATTTATTTATTTCTTTTATTAATATATTTCTATTTATATATTTCTTAGTCTTTGTCTACTTCAATTATTTTGAATACAGAATATAATAAAGTGATATGTCATTATTTTAAGTGACAAAATAACTGCAAGTGGAAATATCCAAATCTAGTTTTAATAGGTAAAAGTTAGA